ATTACGCAGGGAACGGTGCTCGCTCACGCCGCGCCGCTACCCGTCGAGGAACAGCTCGTTGCTCACGCCGATTCACATGTCGATACGCATCCCCAAAGTGAGGAGGGGACGGAGTGGTTGGACTCGTTGTGTGCCGGGTCCAGTACCTTGTCCAGTGTGCAGTTGGGTGCATTGAGGGGCTTGCTGCTCGAGTTCGCTGACGTGTTTAGCAGGCACAAGTACGACATTGGCTGCACAGACCTGTTGCGCCAGCACATAAAGACTGGGGACGCGGCCCCTATTCGACAGAATCCCTTCCGGCTCAGTCCAGCCGAGAAGGAGCATGTGCAGTCGGCAGTAAATGACATGTTGGCGGCCGACATCATTGCGCCCTCTTCCAGTCCGTGGGGTGCTCCTATCGTTTGGTTAAAAAACAGGATGGATCCCTGCGGTTCTGTGTTGATTTCCGCCGCCTAAACAAAATATCAATGGCCGATGCGTATCCGCTCCCCAGGATGGATGAGTCGCTGGATGCCTTGGCAGGAGCACAGTTTTTTTCGACGCTCGATTTGCTTTCGGGATTTTGGCAATTGCCCCTCGATGACGAATCAAAACCTAAAACCGCTTTCCGGACACCGGGAGGCCTATTTGAGTTCAACCGATTGCCCATGGGTTTACATTCCGCTCCTGCCACGTTCCAGAGGCTCATGGAATTGGTTTTGTCAGGCCTTCAATGGGACACCTGTTTGATTTACCTCGATGATATCATCGTTTTCAGCCGAACTTTTGAGGAGCACCTCCAGCGACTGAGGGCAGTGTTTCTCAGGATGCGTTCCGCGAAGCTTAAATTTAAACCGGCTAAATGTTTTCTGCTTCGGGAATCGGTCAGGTATTTGGGCCATATCGTTAGCCGTTCGGGGATCTCGACGGACCCTGCTAAGACGCAATGCGTCGGCTCATGGCCAACACCGACCTCTGTTACTGAAGTCCGCAGCTTCATAGGATTTGCCTCCTATTACCGTCGTTTTGTCAAACAGTTTGCCACCATAGCCAGGCCCCTGCACGCCTTGACGGCTAAAGGGGTGCGGTTTCACTGGGGGCCGGAGGAGGAGGCCGCGTTCTGCTCCCTTCGTGACGCCTTGGTGCAGGCTCCCCCCTTGTGTTACCCCGATTTCACGCAACCGTTTGTGCTCGACACGGATGCCAGTAACACGGGTATCGGGGGAGTGCTCTCACAGGTGGTCGGGGGGGTCAAACGGGTGGTCGCCTACGGTAGCAGGGTTCTGTCCCCCGCGGAACAACGCTACTGCGTGACACGGCGTGAATTGCTGGCGATTGTGTTTTTTATACAGCAATTCAGGCCGTATCTGTATGGCCGTCACTTTACGGTTCGCACGGACCATGCGGCTCTCCAATACGCTATGCGGGTGGCGCAGCCATCCGGCCAATTGTCCCGATGGTTGGAGGTCCTTCAGGACTACCAATTCACGACGATTTACCGCAAGGGGTTGCGCCACTCGAATGCGGATGCATTGTCACGGTTGCCGACGCGTACGGAATGCGCATGTCAGTTAGGATCGGCGCGGTGTAAACCTTCTGTCGATGTCCCCGCGGAAGTGGTGCTAGCCGCCACGGATACTACGGGGGTCGACGCCCCCACGGGGAGGGACTCGCTGTTAGCATTGCCTCTCATCGAGTGGGGCCGTCTGCAAATGGCCGACAGCTCCCTACTCGCGCTACGTCGGAAGGTTAACGTTCCCGAGGGCGGGGAAACGCGGGTCGGTTCCTGGGTGTGCAGACAGGGCCTCTTGATGAAGTGGGACTCCATGTCCCGGCGTCACATGCTTGTGGTGCCGGTTGCTGTACGGGGTAAGGTCGTCCTGGCTGCCCATGAACGACTCATGCATCTGGGGTTTCACAAAACGCTCGCCCTCATTCAGCGAGACTACTATTGGCCTGGGATGGGCAATGACGTGGCGAACATTCTTAAGGGGTGTGTAGGGTGCGCTAAAAGAAAACCGCCACCAATAGCGGCTAATCCACCGCTTCAATCCATTCAAGTTTCGCGCACGAACGAATTGGTCGCGCTAGACATCTTGGGGCCCTTTCCCACTACACCTCGGGGAAATAAGTTCCTGCTGGTTGGCGTAGAGTACTTCACCCGCTGGCCCATGGCGTGGCCACTCGCCAACCAGTCGGCTGCGGCAGTGGCGGACGCCTTTGTCCAAGGTTACGTTTTGGACAAAGGCGCCCCCGAACGCTTGCTGACGGATCAAGGGAAAAACTTTTCGAGTGTTTTGTTGCGCGAGGTGTGCGACCTGTTGGGTACAAAGAAAGTACGTACCTCCCCGTACCACCCGCAGACTGACGGTATGGTTGAACGTCTGAACAGGACGATTACGTCTATGCTGTGCCAACAGGTATGCGACGACCAGGTGGATTGGGACTTACAGGTACCGGGGGTACTAGCGGCCTATCGGATGGCACCCCATGCGGCGACGGGGTTTTCTCCATTTTTTCTGATGTATGGGCGGGAGGCTGATCCGGCCATGGACGTCCAACTGGGGATTTCACAGCCACGTGCAAAATCTAAATTGGCAGACCACATTAAGTTTAACATCGCCAAATTGGCTGAGGCGCGAGAGGCTGCGAGATTGAATTCACGCTCTCGGCAGATCGCGAACGAGCGATTGCATGAACGGAAGGTGCATACGCACAATTGGGAACCGGGCGATAAGGCCTGGCTGCATTGTCCACACGCACCGTTGGCTACGTCCCCCAAACTGTTGAGACCATGGAGGGGACCGGTGGAAATTGTGCGGGTTGCACGACCCCAGAGTATACAGATTAAATGGGGAAAACGCCGTTGGTACGTGCACCCCTCCCGACTGAAACCCTACGCGGCGCCGCGTGACCCCGGGTTGTGCCGTGACGACCGAGCGTGTGATGTGACCGTCGACTCGGGGAGGGATGTGTCGCAGGCTGATCCTCACGTGTCTCCACCTGACCCACCCCCAGGTGTCTCGGACCTGACGGCTGTTGACCGTCGGGAACCGGAACCCCGCGGCTCGCGCGGAGCCCCGATGCCTGGCCCATGCCTTCCTGAACTGCCGGCGCCGCCGGATGGCCAACTGCGTCCTGTGCCGTACGACGGTCCGGCAAGGCGGACTCGGGCAAGGATGCAACACTTTTCATGAAAAAAAAAAAAAAAAAAAAATGTTTTCTTTTTTTTTGTTAAAGCCCGACTTCGTTGCCGGCTTCCCCCTCTGCCGGGGTAATGTCCCGTTCAAGGGACGCTCGGACATTGGGACGCTGCATGAGTCGGAGAGAAAAGAAGAGAAAATGATTAAAGAATTTTTTTTTATTGTTACTCTTTCCGCATACACAGTATCGTTGCCACTCGCCGGATTGTGCATGTTGTTCTTGTTGCGGGTGTGGCGGTTGCTGGGTTTTGCGGATTGCGGTGTTCATGTTGTGTTGTTAGGGTTTGTGTTATGTTACGGGGCACACGTGGGGGAAAAGGGGTGTTGTATGTTTTATTAGCAGCCGGGTCGGCTGCGAGCTATGTGGTAGGGGGTGATGTAGTGGTGGTATTGACGTGCGCCGGCAGTGATGGATCACGGGGCGCGGGGTTGGGCACGCGATGTGGGCGTGGCATGGACACGCGCGCCGGTGGTGAGGCGCGCTCACACAAGCTGGGAAAAGAGGATCGTAGCGAGTGCGCAGTGATTGGTCAGATAAGTGGGTGCTCTCAGCGACGTCCGCAGGAGGGGTATAAAGGGGGACGCGCGAGAGCACTCGGGGTCAGTGTTAACCAGTTGAAGACCGAAGACGGGGTGGAGGAGGTAGTGGCCCGAGACCCCTAGTCCCGCCGTCCTTGTGGGGACCGGGGCCCTGTGTGGCTCGGAGCCGAGACTGGGGGACCGTAGTCCGACGCCCGTGTGGGTCGGGACGGTGGTACCCAGAGCCGAGACGGGCACCCCGGCTGGGTGTGTCCCGGAAGGCTACGGGGCGTAAGAGCCCGTGTCAGTACAGCTGAGTGGGTGTTGGTCACCCGTGTAGCTGAGTGGGTGTTAGTCACCCGTGTAGCTGAGTGGGTGTTGGTCACCCGTGTAGCTGAGTGGGTGTTAGTCACCCGTGTAGCTGAGTGGGTGTTGGTCACCCGTGTAGCTGAGTGGGTGTTGGTCACCCGTGTAGCTGAGTGGGTGTTAGTCACCCGTGTAGCTGAGTGGGTGTCCGTCACCCGTGTAGCTAAGTGGGTGTTGGTCACCCGTGTAACGAAGTAGGGTGTTAGTCATCCGTGTAACTACAAGTTGGTGAAAATAAAGAGTGTGCTACCCGTGAAGTCGTCTCCTGCCGAGTTACTACTTTACATACTTATTAAGATAATCTGTTCTTCTGCTCTCATGAGAATGAGCTCTTTTGTTCTGTCTTCTTCCGTCTCTTGTTCTACGTCGTTTTTCCTCCCTCCCCTGCACGGCCTCTCTAGCGCTGTCACGCTTCTCTTCTTCACCCCGATGCTTTCGCTCTTTCTCGCTGCGTAAGCCTCGACATGTGTGGCCCTCTCTCGACACCTCGATATTAAAAAGTATAACCCGTAAAAACAAAGTTTTTCACTATAAATCCTTTATATGCGTGGCGGCTAGAGTCCTCTCGTCCTCTGGCTTGAGATGGCTGCCACCTATGGGTCAGATGATTGTCTGCAGTATTAAACAATTGGTAATTAAATATTTAATTTGTTTACCCTAAACAGTGTAAAATTTTGGAAAAAAAATTTCACGAACATTAATTGTCTCGCACAACGAGTCTGTGTGCAAAATGTCAGCTCGATTGGATCACGGGAAGTGGGTTAAAAAACGACCGAAAGGTTTGCACGGTCGTAAGCGCGCAAGCAAGCGAACTTAATATAAAGGATTTAAAAACACCGCTTTAGCTCCACGTGTGCGTGTGCGGCGTGTGTGAACACTCACACACAGGCGCATTCATCAGTAAATGTCTATTTACATGTATTCACAGACATGTTGCGTAGACGTTGTTTATTTGAACGTACAATATTTTTGTGTGCCTCTTGAAAGCAACTCTGCCCATTGATGCTATATGACAAAAACGTGACACACACGTATGATTGCAACTGTATGTACGTAGCTAACGGAAGTAAAGTCCCACCACTGCAACATTACCCCGGTTCTTCGGCTCTTTCGACTACTTTGCAAAAGAGACCGGCGCCGGCCAGAACCCAGCCAGCGACATCCTGTCAACGTCCGTACGCTGCGCCTGATCGTGCCAAGGGACAGCCAAAGTTGGACAAGTGAAAGCATCAAGGAGGCCAACAAATAAAATGAAGTCGCATCAACAGTTGGCGAGCGACGTCTATAGCGGTGTAAATCACAACACTGATAAGATAAGGGCAGTGTAAACTATAACACTGATAAGTATATAGCGGTGTAAATCACAACACTGATAAGATAAGGGCAGTGTAAACCATAACACTGATAAGTATATAGCGGTGTAAATCACAACACTGATAAGGGCAGTGTAAACCATAACACTGATAAGTATATAGCGGTGTAAATCACAACACTGATAAGATAAGGGCAGTGTAAACCATAACACTGATAAGTCTATAGCGGTGTAAATCACAACACTGATAAGTCTAGGGCAGTGTAAACCATAACACTGATAAGTATATAGCGGTGTAAATCATACCACTGATAAGTCTAGGGCAGTGTAAACCATAACACTGATAAGCATCTAGCAGTGTAAATCATATCACTGATAAGTATATAGCGTTGTAAACCATAACACGGATAAGTATATGCAGTGTAAACCATAACTGATAAGCGTATAGCGGTGTAAATCATACCACTCATAAGTATCAGTGTAAATGATAAAACTGATAAGTATATAGCAGTGTAAATCCTAACACAGATCAGTATATAGCAATGTAAACCATAACACTGATTAGCATAACTCAGTGTAAATATCATACCACTGATAAGTATAGGGCAGTGTAAACCATAACACTGATAAGCATCTAGCAGTATAAATCATAACACTGATAAGTATTTAGCGTGGTAAACCATACCACTGATAAGTATATGGCAGTGTAAACCACAACACCAAGTATATGCAGTGCAAACCCTAACACTGATAAGCATCTAGCAGTGTAAATCATACCACTGATAAGTATTTAGCGTTGGACACCATAACACTGATAAGTATATAACGTTGTAAACCATAACACTCATAAGTATATGCAGTGTAAACCATACCACTGATAAGCATATAGCAGTGTAAATCATACCACTCATAAGTATCAGTGTAAATTATAAAACTGATAAGTATATAGCAGTGTAAATCATAACACTGATGAGTATAGAGCGGTGTAAACCATAACACTGATAAGTATTGCGCTTTATGAAAATAACATTGAAAAAATGCCGCATCAACCATAACATTGATAAGTATAGAGCCATGTAAAGCATAACATTGATAAGTATAGAGCCATGTAAAGCATAACATTGATAAGTATACGTTGTGGTGCACGAGGTCACGTGACAGACCCAGGTGCCATGAGTTTGGCTGCTGTGCCAGGCTAGGTGCATGAAGAGGTCACGTGACAGACGCAGGTGCCATGAGTTGTATCACCTCCACCACCACCACCACCACGACCTCCACTATTACCACCACCACTGGAACGTCCACCAACACCACGACCTCTACTTCCAACATCACCACCTCGATCTCCACCACCACCACCACCACTATACCTTCCACCATCGCCACCACCACCACCTCCACCATCACCACCTCCAACATCACCACCATCACCACCACCATCACCATGAAAATCACCACCATCACCACCATCACCACCTCCACCATCACCACCTCCAACATCACCACCATCACCATGAAAATCACCACCACCTCCACCATCACCACCTCCACCATCACCACCTCCAACATCACCACCATCACCATGAAAATCACCACCACCACCACCATCACCACCTCCACCACCTCCAACATCACCACCATCACCACCTCCAACATCACCACCATCACCACCTCCACCATCACCACCTCCACCATCACCACCTCCACCATCACCACCTCCACCATCACCACCACCACCATCACCACCTCCAACATCACCACCATCACCACCTCCACCATCACCACCATCACCACCTCCACCATCACCACCTCCAACATCACCACCATCACCACCTCCAACATCACCACCATCACCACCTCCAACATCACCACCATCACCACCATCACCACCTCCACCATCACCACCTCCAACATCACCAACATCACCACCATCACCACCACCAACATCACCACCACCACCACGTGACGTACTACCGCCCCCCCCCCCCCGCTCTCTTTGAGGCGAATGTCCCTCTGGAGGGCGGCACGACGACTTCGCTTCTCATCCAGTCGGCGCTTTGAGTCGCGCAGAAGATCGTCCCTCAGGGCGAGGTCACGCAGAGTGTCCGTCAGCGCCGTGATGCCATCACGGAGGGTGGCAGCCTCACGCGTTAGCTCCTGCACCATCATCATCATCACCAACATCATCACCAACATCACCATCACCACCATCATCACCATCATCACCATCATCAACATCCTCATCATCAATATCAACATCACCATCATCACCATCATCACCACCATCATCAACATCACCATCATCACCAACATAATCACCAACATCAACATCCTCATCATCAATATCAACATCACCATCATCACCATCATCACCAACACCAACATCATCACCATCATCAATATCATCACCATCATCAACAACATCATCATCAACATAATCACCAACATCAACATCATCACCATCAACATCACCATCAACATCATCACAGTCACACAGACGATTGTCTCTGACGGCCAGATCACGTCACCCCCCCCCCCCCCCCCCCACCACCACCCCCCCCACCACCCCCCCCCCCCCCCCCAGGCCTCACCTCTCTCTTGGCGTTCACGGCTCTGAGCTCCTCAGCAGCGAGGGACGAGGTGGAGGTGGTGAGGAGCCGGGCGGGGCGCAGACCGGAGCTCGTGGTGACCAGGTCCCCCGTGTAGCGTGACGTGCACATGCAGTACTGGGACATGGTGGTGTAGAACTGCCTCAGTGGTAGGTCACTCAGCACCTAGAGACACACACAGAGACACACACAGAGAGACACACAGAGACACACAGAGAGACAGTCCCCAGTGTAGTGTGACGTGCACATGCAGTACTGGGACATGGTGGTGTAGAACTGCCTCAGTGGTAGGTCACTCAGCACCTAGAGACACACACAGAGACACACAGAGACACACACAGAGACACACAGTGAGACACACACAGAGACACACAGAGACACACACAGAGACACACACAGAGAGACACACACAGAGACACACAGAGAGACAGTCCCCAGTGTAGCGTGACGTACACATGCAGTACTGGGACATGGTGGTGTAGAACTGCCTCAGTGGTAGGTCACTCAGCACCTAGAGACACACACAGAGACACACAGAGACACACACAGAGACACACAGTGAGACACACACAGAGACACACACAGAGACACACACAGAGACACACACAGAGAGACACACACAGAGACACACAGAGAGACAGTCCCCAGTGTAGCGTGACGTACACATGCAGTACTGGGACATGGTGGTGTAGAACTGCCTCAGTGGTAGGTCACTCAGCACCTAGAGACACACACAGAGACACACACAGAGAGACACACAGAGACACACAGTGAGACACACACAGAGACACACACAGAGACACACACAGAGACACACACAGAGAGACACAGACAGAGAGACACACACAGAGACACACAGAGAGACAGTCCCCAGTGTAGCATGACGTGCACATGCAGTACTGGGACATGGTGGTGTAGAACTGCCTCAGTGGTAGGTCACTCAGCACCTAGAGAGACACACAGAGACACACACAGAAAGACAGAGAGACACACAGAGAGACAGAGACACACACAGAGAGACACACAGAGAGACAGTCACTAGTGTAGTGTGACGTGCACATGCAGTACTGGGACATGGTGGTGTAGAACTGCCTCAGTGGTAGGTCACTCAGCACCTAGAGACACACACAGAGACACACAGAGACACACACAGAGACACACAGTGAGACACACACAGAGACACACACAGAGACACACACAGAGACACACACAGAGAGACACAGACAGAGAGACACACACAGAGACACACAGAGACACACACAGAGACACACAGTGAGACACACACAGAGACACACACAGAGACACACACAGAGACACACACAGAGAGACACAGACAGAGAGACACACACAGAGACACACAGAGAGACAGTCCCCAGTGTAGCATGACGTGCACATGCAGTACTGGGACATGGTGGTGTAGAACTGCCTCAGTGGTAGGTCACTCAGCACCTAGAGACACACACAGAGACACACAGAGACACACACAGAGACACACAGTGAGACACACACAGAGACACACACAGAGACACACACAGAGACACACAGAGAGACAGTCCCCAGTGTAGCATGACGTGCACATGCAGTACTGGGACATGGTGGTGTAGAACTGCCTCAGTGGTAGGTCACTCAGCACCTAGAGACACACACAGAGACACACACAGAGAGACACACAGAGACACACAGTGAGACACACACAGAGACACACACAGAGACACACACAGAGACACACACAGAGAGACACAGACAGAGAGACACACACAGAGACACACAGAGAGACAGTCCCCAGTGTAGCATGACGTGCACATGCAGTACTGGGACATGGTGGTGTAGAACTGCCTCAGTGGTAGGTCACTCAGCACCTAGAGAGACACACAGAGACACACACAGAGAGACAGAGAGACACACAGAGAGACAGAGAGACACACAGAGAGACACACAGAGAGACAGTCCCCAGTGTAGCGTGACGTACACATGCAGTACTGGGACATGGTGGTGTAGAACTGCCTCAGTGGTAGGTCACTCAGCACCTAGAGACACACACAGAGACACACAGAGACACACACAGAGACACACAGTGAGACACACACAGAGACACACACAGAGACACACACAGAGACACACACAGATAGACACAGACAGAGAGACACACACAGAGACACACAGAGAGACAGTCCCCAGTGTAGCATGACGTGCACATGCAGTACTGGGACATGGTGGTGTAGAACTGCCTCAGTGGTAGGTCACTCAGCACCTAGAGACACACACAGAGACACACAGAGACACACACAGAGACACACAGTGAGACACACACAGAGACACACACAGAGACACACACAGAGACACACACAGAGAGACACAGACAGAGAGACACACACAGAGACACACAGAGAGACAGTCCCCAGTGTAGCATGACGTGCACATGCAGTACTGGGACATGGTGGTGTAGAACTGCCTCAGTGGTAGGTCACTCAGCACCTAGAGACACACACAGAGACACACAGAGACACACACAGAGACACACAGTGAGACACACACAGAGACACACACAGAGATACACACAGAGACACACACAGAGAGACACACAGAGAGACACACACAGAGACACACAGAGACACACACAGAGACACACAGTGAGACACACACAGAGACACACACAGAGACACACACAGAGACACACACAGAGAGACACAGACAGAGAGACACACACAAAGACACACAGAGAGACAGTCCCCAGTGTAGCATGACGTGCACATGCAGTACTGGGACATGGTGGTGTAGAACTGCCTCAGTGGTAGGTCACTCAGCACCTAGAGACACACACAGAGACACACAGAGACACACACAGAGACACACAGTGAGACACACGCAGAGACACACACAGAGACACACACAGAGACACACACAGAGAGACACAGACAGAGAGACACACACAGAGACACACAGAGAGACAGTCCCCAGTGTAGCGTGACATACACATGCAGTACTGGGACATGGTGGTGTAGAACTGCCTCAGTGGTAGGTCACTCAGCACCTAGAGACACACACAGAGACACACACAGAGACACACAGTGAGACACACACAGAGACACACAGAGACACACACAGAGACACACAGAGACACACACAGAGAGACAGAGAGACAGAGAGACACACAGAGAGACAGAGAGACACACAGAAAGACAGTCACTAGTGTAGTGTGAAGTACACATGCAGTACTGGGACATGGTGGTGTAGAACTGCCTCAGTGGTAGGTCACTCAGCACCTAGAGAGACACACAGAGAGACACAGAGAGACAGAGACACACAGAGACACACACAGAGACACAGAGAGACACACATAGACACACACAGAGAGACAGTCCCCAGTGTAGCGTGACGTACACATGCAGTACTGGGACATGGTGGTGTAGAACTGCCTCAGTGGTAGGTCACTCAGCACCTAGAGACACACAAGAGACACACACAGAGACACACACAGAGACACACACAGAGACACACACAGAGACACACACAGAGAGACAGAGAGACACAGAGAGACAGTCCCCAGTGTAGTGTGACGTGCACATGCAGTACTGGGACATGGTGGTGTAGAACTGCCTCAGTGGTAGGTCACTCAGCACCTAGAGACACACACAGAGACACACAGAGACACACAGAGAGAAACACACAGAGACACACACAGAGAGACAGAGAGACACACAGAGAGACAGTCCCCAGTGTAGTGTGAAGTACACATGCAGTACTGGGACATGGTGGTGTAGAACTGCCTCAGTGGTAGGTCACTCAGCACCTAGAGACACACACAGAGACACACAGAGACACACAGAGAGAAACACACAGAGACACACACAGAGAGACAGAGAGACACACAGAGAGACAGTCCCCAGTGTAGCGTGACGTACACATGCAGTACTGCGACATGGTGGTGTAGAACTGCCTCAGTGGTAGGTCACTCAGCACCGAGAGAGACACACAGAGACACACACAGAGAGACAGAGAGACACACAGAGAGACACACAGAGAGACAGAGAGACACACAGAGAGACAGTCACTAGTGTAGCATGACGTGCACATGCAGTACTGGGACATGGTGGTGTAGAACTGCCTCAGTGGTAGATCACTCAGCACCTAGAGAGACACACAGAGACACACAGAGACACACAGAGAGACACACAGAGAGACACACACAGAGAGACAGAGACATACACAGACACACACAGAGACACACAGAGACACACACAGAGAAACACACACACAGACAGGCACCTTCTCTAGGTTTGCTGTCGTGGTCTCTGTCCCCACGGGGACGTCGTGAACGTGGTAGTGCTCGCAGAGGAAGCTCATGACCAGAGGCGGCGCGTCAAAGAGCTCCCGCAGGTA